TGACATAGACCAAGTTATGTGCGGATCAACAGGGAAATAATCCAAGACCATGGCCTTGTTGGAACAGAGCACACCGAAGAAAAAAAACAAGGCGAATTAGGATTCTTCGGGAACAATGGAGAAAGAGATCAAAGGGTTAAAGGTGTTCATCAGAAAAACAGCACCTCAAAGAATTCCTGGATGAGCCGTTTTTGGATGTTGATCAAGAAGAAGGCATGAAAGAATCTGAGGTGTACACATCATCACTTACTGTTGTCGAGGCCCTGAATTTATCCTCGGTGTCATTTGGATCGTCAGATAATCGTCAAGACAAACAGACCCATTGTGATCGTCCAAAGCTACTTCTCCATGAAGTAGGTGCACAACAGCGGTTTCGGAGGACTCCATCCTACAAGATTTGCAAGAAGAAGCTGAAGAAAATGGCGTCTCTACCACCCAGCTTCTGGGGTATTTATTTCATAAAGAAAACTACATCAGCAACAGGAAAACGGCAGATGCTGGGCTGAAACTTTTCAACAATTCGTTGATTGATAATGAGTTGGCTGAGGACAAAGGACTCTACATCTTATCTTCATATGATCTGGGCAGAACATTGTACACTAACTTGAGACGTGATTTGAAAGATCACGTGACACTTCCAGCTCATTACAGGTTAATGGAAAAGAAGCGCTCTGTAACTCCTGAATTGCAGCCTTATAGTCATGGTGATTGTGAAGGCATCACAGCTTCTCTGAAAGAATCATGCACCATACATGTGAAAAGACTTATTGAAGCTCACCCAGAAATTGAACCAGTTGAGTATAGGGTCGTATGTAAAGACGGGCTTGACGGATCCGGACGGCATTCTATTTATCACCAGAAGGGGCAGACTGAGACATAGAACATGATTTTGTATATGTGGATACTACTGGAAATCATCAGAGAAGTTGGTTCATCGGCAGAAAGCTCATCCAAGGCATCAGGTACTTTACATACATTGGACTGGATCCTGAAAATTATCTACCACTTGGCCGCTGGTGTAAGGACCTGGAAAGAAAATATGCTAAATGAAGCTAAGATCAGAAGAGCCAAAGAGAACGTCAGAGCCTCAATATATGAATAAACTGGAATACGGGTGGACGAACCTGACCCAAGGGTGGTACCTCAATGACGGGTCCACTCAGCAAAAGGTTGCTTCATGATATTCCCATCCATCAAGCGTTGATTGAATGTGTCCCAGAAAAGGGGGACAGTAGAGCAAACATTGAGATTATTGTAAAAAACATATCTGTCATTCTTCGTCTTGTT